AAAAATTCACTGTTATCCCAGCAGTCACTATTGTGACCATCAAGATGTTTACTCATTCTATGACCACACTCAACAAAACTGAATATATGTGAATTCATATATTAATACTAGACACCTTAAAGATAATGTGGACCAAAAATCTTTGTCATATCTTTATGTTAACATACTTTACTAGCCTTTTGCATTCATCATCTTCTCAAGGTGCAAACTGTAAATAAACTGCTCTGGTCATGTGACAATCTGCACTAACCATGTGACACTGCACATATTTAATTGAGACCCTTTATTGTTTCCATATTTGCAGAAAAATGCTCTAAAACATCAGTCAGGTGTTTTTAGAGCTTTATAAACAAAAACATTCTTTATGGTCATTATTGTCACCGGTGGGATTAAATGGGTTAATTATCACCTTTGCATGGCAAAAGAAAAAAGAAAAAAAAGATATAGGCTATTTAAGCATGCACACGTGTGCTATGTGCAGGTTTTTAGTCATAACATGAGAATAAGTGACCGCTGGGCCGCTGCTCTGCAAAACTGAACAGCTTGAAGAACTCAAATTCACAGAATAATTCAGATGGAAGTGCTGTGATCTCACTGAATTAAAGCCTTCACTCAAAAGTCATCGATCTGTCATTATTCACTCGCCCTCATGTCCTTCAAAGCTGAGTGATTTCATCCGTCAAACACAGAAACAACACTGAACCCCATTGATCTTCTTTTGAGTGTTTCAGAGTAATACAAGTAATATGAAACTAGTGAATAAACAACATTAAGAACATTTACATTTATTCAGGAGACGTTTAATCAGTTCCAGAAGCAAATCTCCAGCAGTTCACAGACCCAATAATATTCATATACATAAAGCGGAGGTGAAATGCAGTGTAAAGGTACATAAAAATGACATATTGTGTTTTTTTAAGTCACAGTTTGCAGTGGGGAAAAATAAATAAAACAAAGCATTAAATAGCTTCTTTTTTTCTGGTGGTTTATTGAACAAACTATGTTCAGTAATTAATAAAGTAAAATTAGCATTTAGTAAAATTAAGATAAATATTCTCCCAAATTAATACAAATATAACACATTTCCATTAAGGTGCATCATTTAGAAATTGAACTGTTGGTATTATTGATCTCAAGCTGCTGTTTTATTGAAGTCTTTCTGCGGTTGAATCACTGATTGATGGATTCCATGATTCATGATTGAATTCAGAGAGTTGCTCTGATTGTTCTGATGTTCATTCATGTTTATTTGCTGCTGTAACTAGTAGTAAAGAGAAAGAGACCATCGCTTCACATTAAAGAGCAGCAAAAACACGTTTACTGTTTGAATCTCATAAAACTGAAGACAGAATTTGAAAGCTAGAGATAGAGATCAAGATGATAATGCTGATTGTGATCAAGGTTTCTAAAGCTGCATTTGTTCCGATATACATGCATGCCAAATTGAAAATGTTTGGTAAAAAAATACCTGTACCGAATCTTTGTCATATCTTTATGTTAACATACTTTACTAGCCTTTTGCATTCATCATCTTCTCAAGGTGCAAACTGTAAATAAACTGCTCTGGTCATGTGACAATCTGCACTAACCATGTGACACTGCACATATTTAATTGAGACCCTTTATTGTTTCCATATTTGCAGAAAAATGCTCTAAAACATCAGTCAGGTGTTTTTAGAGCTTTATAAACAAAAACATTCTTTATGGTCATTATTGTCACCGGTGGGATTAAATGGGTTAATTATCACCTTTGCATGGCAAAAGAAAAAAGAAAAAAAAGATATAGGCTATTTAAGCATGCACACGTGTGCTATGTGCAGGTTTTTAGTCATAACATGAGAATAAGTGACCGCTGGGCCGCTGCTCTGCAAAACTGAACAGCTTGAAGAACTCAAATTCACAGAATAATTCAGATGGAAGTGCTGTGATCTCACTGAATTAAAGCCTTCACTCAAAAGTCATCGATCTGTCATTATTCACTCGCCCTCATGTCCTTCAAAGCTGAGTGATTTCATCCGTCAAACACAGAAACAACACTGAACCCCATTGATCTTCTTTTGAGTGTTTCAGAGTAATACAAGTAATATGAAACTAGTGAATAAACAACATTAAGAACATTTACATTTATTCAGGAGACGTTTAATCAGCACTTCAGTTTGTGACACAGCTATGGACTTCAGTGCATTCTTACTGATGCCCTATGACGATCCCAACTAAACCAAACCAGTCCAAGAAACATACTTAACAGAACTGCTAAGTGATTGAGACTATAATGATAGAATTTTATAACTCTGTTGATATTCAATCTAAAATAGTTATTGCAGATTAAGAAGTTGAGAAGGTCAACTCATACATGTACTTGGGTACAGTTATTGACGATAAACTAAGCTGGGTGGAAAACACAAACCTTGTATCAAAGGCACAAAAACGGTTATATTTACTGAGGAAGCTTAAGTCCTTTGATGGCGATAAATCTATTTTGATAATGTTTTATAGATCTTTTGTTTTATCTTGACTTTTGCTATGATTTGCTGGTTTTATGGACTAAATGTTAAAAGTAGATCCCAGATGCAGAGAATTGTTAATCTGGGGTCAGAGATTACAGGCTTGGTACAGTTGGGGGTATCTGCTTTGTGTGAGAAAATGTCCTTAGGAAGTCTTTGACTATCTTAGATGTTACATCTCACATTTTGCACTCAGAAATTGAACTCCTCCCCTCGGGCAGACGATATAGAGTGCCCAAGTGGAGTACTGTTAAAGCTTCTAGATCTTTTGTTTCAAATGCAGTCTTGATTGTAAACGATTATTTGAAACATAAAGATAAAGGTATACTATGAATTGTAACATTATTTTAGTATATGACAAATTGTGCACTGTTAATGCCCGGGTTTTTATTTGTTTTTTTGTTGTTGTGGTCATTCATTCATTCTAGCAGTTTTGTCACGATGTCTTATAAACTTTTGTCTGTTTGTGAGGTTGATGCTGTATGAATTGCCCTGTGAAGGGACAAATAAAGATTTACTACTTACTACTACTATGACTGTGCAAGTCTATATTAAATAAGAATACTCAAAAAAATAATACTTTAAAAAAGTTATTAAAATACAATAGAATAATATATTAAAAGAGATAATTGAATAGAGGTTAAAAAATAGAAAGAAAAAAAAAGAATGCAATAAGTGGTAGAAACCAAAAAGTAATAATGTGGAAGTGGGATAAACCCACTGTGCTTCTTTGACACAATTTGCATCGTAAAAAGTGCTATATAAATAAATAATAATAATAATAAAATAAAAATAAATAAATAAACTGGTGTGTGATGCTCTTAGAAATAAAGAAACCTAAAGAAAACCTAAATAAATAAAGTGTGTGTGTGTGTGTGTGTGTGTTTAGGTGGGTACATACTAATATACCGTGACTTATTGGAGTTGGAGACAGTGATGGGGCAGAAGCTAAGCCTTTCTGTGTTGGCCATTTGCCTGACATTAGCACTCTGATCAGGCCTGGTGTTGGAAGTCATCATTTTCTGGGCCTGCAACCTGACCCACCTGTAAGTCTGAAATTAGTATTGATAAAGTTTATTAAAGTAGTCATTTCTTGGTAAAATGCTTCAACTCCATCTTGTTCATCTGCTTCAGGGTTAATGTTCTTGGTATGTAGAAGGCATTTCCTTGAATTAACATTCTGGCCTCAGGTTTTATCTTGCACTTGGATTACAGAGGATTCTTCACTGAACTTCCACTGCCCCAGAGCTTGTGAATGCTCTCCTGTGTTCCTCTTCAGTGAATAATTAATTGTGCCATTCACTGAGTCCTGGTGATTTTTGGTGATAATGGTGATCGAATATCTTTTAGCAGTATTACTATAAGTAGCAAAGTAATTTGTTTGATTAAAATTGTAGACCAGCAAGGTGGTAGCATTTCTTCTTTTTAAGTCGCATGTCATTTTTCAAGTCAAATGCGGCTTTACCGAGCTCAACGGCTCTGGCCCGAGCAGATATAATTTGAAGTAAATGTTTTCTTTAAGAGTTTATCAGTCTCTCACATCATTTTGGAGAAATTTTGGCCCACTCTTCTTTACAACATTGCTTCAGTTCATTGATGTTTCAGGTCATTCATCTGTGCACAAAAATGTTTGTGCACAAATCTTAAGATTTCTTCGCAGCATCTCAATGGGGTTGAGGTTTGGTTTTAGACTTGACCATTCCATCACCGTTTTTTTTTTTCTTCAGCCATTCAGTTGTTGATTTGCTGCTGTGCTTGGGATCGTTGTCCTGTGGCATGACCAATTTCGACCCACCTTAAGCTGCTGGACAGAAGGCCTCACATTTTTCTCTAGAATATTCCTGTATAAAGTGGAGTTCATCGTAGTCTCAATGACTGCAAGTTTCTCAGGTCCTGTGTCTGCAAAACAAGCCCAAATCATCACCCCTCCACCACCCCTGGACTGAATTTGTTGGGACATCTACTTCTGGAAAGATTGGCGACTGTTTTTAAGGCTGTCCATTTTTAAACTATTCTTCTGACTGTGGAATGGTGAATTTCAAATTGTTGGGACAACAATTGCTTCTCTGCAGTCATGGCTGATGTCCTTTCTTCTTGGCTTGATGTAGATACACACCTGAGTGCTCTAGAACACCAAACTGCCAAAAGTTTGCCTGTAGTAACACCTGGCTGCTAATTACTCTTTTAATGACTGAAAGAAGGAAGGGTGTATTTATTTCTTCCCCACCTAGTTTCTAAATGTTGGATTATTTTTGGTTAAAAAAATGACTACATAAAGTGGTGGAGCACCCTCAGGGTGGTCACGTGGTATAATGGACACAACCATTAACTCATAATCTTGAGTAATCATGATGTTTTCCACCTCCACATGAGTCGCCCAGGCCTCATTCACAAGCACTATCAATCCCCCTCCTCTACTTTTCTGAGTAATCCGTGCATCACGATCAACCCGGTAAGACGTATATCCCTCCAAGCTAATGCTGGGTGAGTTCCTATTCAACCATGTCTCTGTGAAGAACATCAGATCGGAATTAAAGTTTTCCACATCTTCCGTCATTTCTTGGAGCTCCTCTATTTTGTTTGGAAGAGAACGCACATTAGACATCATTATTTTAGGAAGGCGGAACTGAAATTCCTTTACTTTTGTTTTAGACTTTTGTGGTGGTTTCCTCTGAAAAGCAGGTTTCTTCTCCTGGTTAAGGCCCCTGTCTTCAGTTGAAGTAGCCTTCTTCTTCTGTCTTTTGTTCTTGTTGTCACCTGATTTGTCTTTTCCTGTGGAACAATACTTAGTTACTCCTATGTCTTTTGTGCATAGGATAATAAACCTCTGTGTCTTCCTGTCCTGCTTTTGGGTCTGTTTATACTCCATACAAATGGTGCCTTGCGTGTATATTTGAGATCCAAACATCTCCTGAGCCAAATCAATGTGACACTCCATTTCAGGGATTTGATTGAGCATCTCTCTGAAAGATACATTTAGAGGCGATGAAATCCAGCTGTGAGTCGTAAATACATGATCTACTGTATTATTATTGTGTTATAGTAAGCAGTCTTACTCATGTTGCTTACTCAATATACCATTTACATAAAATGTGCAGAGAAACACTTATGTACTTACTGCAATTCATTCAATGTTTTTTTTGTTTTTTTCACAGTCTCACGGATTTCATAAGCTTTTGTCTTCAGAAATGTGCTAGCTTCAGTCTGATGTTTGTTTTTAATCAGTTCTTCACAGTTATTAATCAGATCAGGAACTGTGAATATCAGCCCAAAGATTCCTCCTGCGGCCTGCAAAGATGTGAAAAATATATAAAAATATATAAATTCCCAAAAAGTAAACCAACATTGAGAAACCATGTGGGGAAAAAATAAGTACACTCTACAATTCAGTAACATGTAGAACCACCTTTAGCAACAATTATTTGAAGTAAATGTTTTCTTTAAGAGTTTATCAGTCTCTCACATCATTTTGGAGAAATTTTGGCCCACTCTTCTTTACAACATTGCTTCAGTTCATTGATGTTTCAGGTCATTCATCTGTGCACAAAAATGTTTGTGCACAAATCTTAAGATTTCTTCGCAGCATCTCAATGGGGTTGAGGTTTGGTTTTAGACTTGACCATTCCATCACCGTTTTTTTTTTT